CATCCTTGACGTACGTTGGCTAAAGTCACCTTTGTAGCAGTGATTGCGCGTGTCGGCATGACAGTCAGCAGCGTCTCGCCTTTGTAAATAGCGACGTGCTGCAGTTGTGTGTGTGCGCCGCTGGGTGAGTCTCCGCGGCGGCTGTCTCCGTAGCTCCCCTTTTTCCGAGAAAAGGAGAGGAGAATTAGCTCCGGGAGGAGGGCCGCCGCCATTATTGGGAAGCTGGGGGAAAAACACTTTCACACACACGCAATCTCTTGTGAAATTGATAAGGACGTTACCAATTTGTTGCATTAAAACAGTTTAGAATAAACATTGTACCGCAATTAAAGCAACCTCGACCGGTGTCCCGTGCATGATCGATCCAGCATAATGTTGGCACAACAATGGACATAATAATTGGTCAAAAGCAACGTGGTGAACCAAGGAGAAGACGGTGACACAAGCTTTTATTCGCCGAGGAGAAAAAAATAAATAACAGGAAGATCATTGTTTTTACGTTAGTAGTTTTACTATCACAAAGAAAACGGACATATCAATGGAATTGAAAATAATCGAAATGGGGATATAGACTTACAATGAATCTGTCAAGCTAACAATAACAACCTACGTATAGTTAGTTGTGTCTGTTTTGGAATCAAACGAGCCACATTTGTGTTTCTTATATCCATGTATATCAGGCGGCGAGGGCTGCGGCAAGCGCTGGCCTGACAGATTCAGGGAGAATGCGATGGTATGTATTCACTTTCTCCCCATTTTAATCTGAAACACAGACTGAAACCAGTGTTCCAGCTAAAATTCTCATGATCAGTCTGTTACAAATGTATCTTTGAGTGAATAGGGTGATTAAAAAGTGCAAGTGGATTTTGAAATACGAGGTGAATGGGTTTAGTTACGAGTCGGCAATTTCATTCTGTGGACAAGAGGCCTGTCGTGGCCAGTGCTTTCCATGAAAATTCATTCCAAAACCGTTGTTTACCCATTAAAATATGCATACGGAGTTGTAACCAACCCACTATATATTTACAATTTCGAACAATATGGCGCAATTATGTTTGTCCTTCTGAATGTAGAAAAGGATGTATCTTTACAATCAGAGGGTAGGGTAGAGACTTGCTTGTTTTCATTTCCAAAGAATTTGCCTGTTCAATCTGGTTGTGTCAGGCCTTGCACAGCTGAGCTCCATGATGGACTGCCTACTGTGCCTTTGATGGGCTATTTAGACATGTTTTAAATGCAGGATTTTATATAGGTTTAGAATATATGGCGATGCCTCCTTTTTGTGAACAATAATAATGAAAACAGTTTTATTAAATGGCAGTAGCCTACCAGTTTGTTTCCACATTTCATGTCAATATTGATACAGTAAGTACATCAATAGTCTATTTACATTAGTCATTTTATCACAATAATACAGTGTGATTAGTTTTCTGGTTGTACTTTGTGCATCCTCTTGTCATAATTTGCTTTTCCTGTTTGTGCATTGGTTGTAGTTATGGAGCATCTCCAGTATGGACCCTTCCTCTCTGTCAAATATACTGCTTGGCAACTTGACAGACAAGAGTACCCCAAACCTTACCTGATTCTAACACTGGTGATGATGATTGGTTACTGTGTACATGTAGTAGACTGGATTTGCTAATTAGTGATTGTCTGTATGCTGGGAAGATCTTTCTTCTGTTGTTTTTCTTTGTTTGGCAACAGTATAAACACAGCAATTAGGAGGCTATTACAATAAGAACAGTTCAAACTGATGGGTTTATATTTTTGTTGCTGTCTAAAGAGGTTGATGTTTACCTAAATGTGTGTTGTCATTCATCCATGATCATGATATTCAGGATCAAGGCCATAGTCAAGAGCATAGATCCTTAGTAGTGACCAGCTAAAGGTTGGCAAGGAAACCAATACCACTGCCCAGCCCTTTGTCTGAAGAGATCCTTGGCCACCAGAGATGAGGACATATCTTACATAGTTATGAGACACACAGACCATCCATCCCCTCAATGCTCTTGGCTAGCGATAGGTAGGATGGGATTCCAATTAGTGTGAAGAGTGCTTCTCCTCTTCCTCCCCTTCACTCCCCTCCTCTTCCTCCCTGCTCACACTCCAAAACCTGCCAAGTCATGAGTAGGCAGAAAGAGCCCAAAATCATTTCTGTAGTTAGAAACGGATAAGATAAGCATCCCTGCAAAATTATTTTGTTGAGATATGATTTGATCTCTAAGAAATTAAGCTAATTGATTGTAAGCCAATTTGCCGTTTTAATTTATAGGATTCATATCATATTTAATAAATATAGTACCTTACATCTTATTTGGACCAAATATTTTTCTAACAATGAGTAAGACATGAGGAATCCAAAGAAATGGTCAAAAGCCACCCACGAACCCCCCACACCCAACGCTAATCTCAACCCAACAACGAGTATACAGCAGTGGAGGCTGTTGAGGGGAGGACGGCTCATAATAATGGCTGGAACGGAGATCTATGGCTGGAGTGGAGTAAATGGAATGGTATCAAACACAAGAAAAACATGTTTCTGATTCCATTTACTCCATTCCAACCAAATAGCCACCCTTTGCCTTGATGACAGCTTTGCACACACTTGGCATTCTCTCAACCAGCTTCACCTGGAATGCTTTTCCAACAGTCTTGAAGGAGTTCCCACATATGCTGAGCACTTGTTGGCTGCTTTTCCTTCACTCTGTGGTCCGACTCATCCCAAACCATCTCAATTTGGTTGAGGTCGGGGGATTGTGGAGGCCAGGTCATCTGATGCAGCACTCCATCACTCTCCTTCTTGGTAAAATAGCCCTTACACAGCCTGGAGGTGTGTTGGGTCATTGTCCTGTTGAAAAACAAATGATAGTCTCACTAAGCCCAAACCAGATGGGATGGCGTATCGCTGCAGAATGCTGTGGTAGCCATGCTGGTTAAGTGTGCCTTGAATTCTAAATAAATCACAGACAGTGTCACCAGCAAAGCACATTTTTACATTTTAGTCATTTAGCAGACGCTCTTATCCAGAGCGACTTACAGTTAGTGAGTGCATACATTTTTTCATACTGGTCCCCTGTGGGCACCCCCACACCATAACACCACCTCCTCCATGCTTTACGGTGGGAATTACACATGCGGAGATCATCTGTTCACCCACACCACGTCTCACAAAGACATTGCCGTTGTAACCAAAAATCTCAAATTTGGACTCCAGACCAAATGACACATTTCCACCGGTCTAATGTCCATTGCTCGTGTTTCTTGGCCCAAGCAGGCCTCTTCTTCTTATTGGTGTCCTTTAGTAGTGGTTTCTTTGCAGCAAATCGACCATGAAGGCCTAATTCACACAGTCCCCTCTGAACAGTTGATGTTGAGATGTGTCTGTGACTTGAACTCTGTGAAGCATTTATTTAGGCTGCAATTTCTGAGGCTGGTAACTCTAATGAACTTATCCTCTGCAGCAGAGGTAACTCTGGGTCTTCCATTCCTGTGGCAGTCCTCATGAGAGCCAGTTTCATCATAGCGCTTTATGGTTTTTGCGACTGCACTTGAAGAAACTTTCTAAGTCCTTGAAATTTTCCATATTGACTGACCTTCATGTCTTAAAGTAATGGACTGTCGTTTCTCTTTGCTTATTTGAGCTGTTCTTGCCATAATATGGACTTGGTCTTTTACCAAATAGGGCTATCTTCTGTATACCCCTCCCTACCTTGTCACAACACAACTGATTGGCTCAAACACATTAAGAAGGAAAGAAATTCCACAAATTAACTTTTAAGAAGTCACACCTGTTAATTGAAATGCGTTCCAGGTGACTACCTCATGAAGCTGGTTGAGAGAATGCAAAGAGTGTGCAAAGCTGTCATCAAGGCAAAGGGTGGCTATTTGAAGAAACTCAAATATAAAATATATTTTGATTTGTTTAACACTTCTTTGGTTACTACATGATTCCATATGTGTTATTTCATAGTTTTGATGTCTTCACTATTATTCTACAATGTAAAAATAAAGAAAAACCCTTGAATGAGTAGGTGTCCAAACTTTTGACTGGTATGTAGGTACTATTGACTTGTCTTGGATTTGTGCCTCAAATCCTACGAAGTTAGCATTTGAAACAATAAAATAATAATAATCACCAAAAACAATCACCACATTCACTAGGAATAGATGACATAGAATGAGGAAACAATACTCAGAGCCACAGCGCCATACTACTTGTCAGACACCGAGAACTGATACTATATACTCGTTGTTGGGGTGGGATTGGCATGGGGGGGTCCGTGAGTGGCTTTTGACCATTCTTTTGGATTCCTCATGTGTAACTCGTTAGAAAAAAAGTTTGGTCCAAGTCCAATGTAAGGTACTTTAGTTATTGACTATTATATGAATCCTATATACATTTTAATGGTCAATTTATATTTACACAAAATAATGTTGCAGGAATGCTAATGTTATCTGTTTCTAACAACAGAAACGATTTCAGAACAATCTGAGAATGTGTGTGTCAATCCTCTTTCTTGTGCTTTTTGAGGTGTTCTATTAAAAGGCCAGCCCAGATTGAGATAGGATTAGAAATGAGAAATTCATGCCCCCCTACTCAGTGTTCTCTCATTAAGTTGAAGGGAAATTATTCTTAGTCTTGTCTTCTTTTAACCACTGTCATTCTTGTGAAGGTGTTTGACTGTTCTTTTTTTGATGAGAGCAGAAATAAGGTTAAAAACTAATATTTGTACCTTTTTAAACATAAATTAACATTTTGTTTAGCTAATTATTAGATTTTTGTGCTCTTCTTTTTGTTCTGACAGGCTCATATCTACATTAGGAATGAATGAGAGAAGCCTCCGCCTTTGCTACACCCCAACACTGCTGTTGAAGCACACTACAGGAAACACCAACTGAACTTCATCCCTACTGTACATCTGCCACTCTATGGACACACATCCAGGTGTACTCTCCGATCAAGTGCCTGATGATGGCAGGATGAGTGTCAGCAGACGATAATGATGGCAAAAAAGCAAGATGCTAAGTCCCCCACATACAACCTTATTGTTGTGGGTTTGTCAGGGACTGAGAAAGAGAAGGGCCAGTGTGGCGTGGGCAAGTCCTGCCTGTGTAACCGCTTTGTGCGCCCCAGCGCTGATGACTTCTATCTGGACCACACATCAGTGCTGAGCACAAGTGACTTTGGGGGCAGAGTGGTTAACAATGACCACTTCCTGTTCTGGGGGGAGGTGGGGCGGGTGGTGGAGGAGGGGCCGGAGTGCAGGATGCATGTGGTGGAGCAAACAGAGTTCATTGATGACCAGACGTTCCAGCCACACCGCAGCACTGCCATGCAGCCCTACATCAAGAGGGCGGCCTCCACCAAGCTGGCCTCTGCAGAGAAGCTGATGTACTTCTGCACGGACCAGCTGGGGCTGGAGCAGGACTTTGAGCAGAAGCAGATGCCTGAGGGCAAGATACAGGCTGACGGGTTCATGCTCTGTGTGGACGTCAGTAGGGGGATGAACCGCAACTTTGACGACCAGTTGAAGTTTGTCACAAACCTTTACGGTCAGCTGAGCAAAACAAAGAAGCCCATTGTGCTAGTCTTAACCAAGTGCGATGAGGGAGTTGAACGCTACATCAAAGATTCTCACACCTTTGCCATCACTAAAAAGAGTCTTCCAGTGGTGGAGACGTCTGCGCGCTCTAACATCAATGTTGACCTAGCCTTCATTGCTTTGGTGCAACTCATTGATAAGAGCAGGGGCAAGCCCAAGATCATTCCTTACTTTGAGGCCCTCAAGCTCCAGAGTCAGCAGATAGCCCTGGCTAAAGACCGATACGAATGGCTAGTCAACCGTGTAGTGAAGAACCACAACGAGACCTGGCTTAACACCAGTCTACGCATGCACAGCTCTTCAGAGTTCAAGGAATACGTCTTTCTAGAGGGTACAGCGAAATGCAAGAAGCTCTTCCAGCAGCATGTGTACCGTCTAAAACAGGAGCACATTGAGAGACGTCGGAAAATCTATCTGAGCACTCTTCCTCTAGCACTTAGATCCCTGGTGCCTGACCTGGATGAGATCGACCAGCTGAGCTGGTCTGGGGTTCAGAAGGTCCTGGAGTCCAAGCAGCACTTTGCCCACTGGTTTGTGGTTTTGGAGGACTCTCCATGGGAGGACACGTCTCACATAGACAACATGGAGGATGAGCGCATCCCCTCAGACCTGCTGGAGACGGCCCCAGCCGAGAACATTTTCAACACCCACCTGGACCACCTGAGGAACGAGTGCAAGCGGGCAGAGATGAGGCAGGAGTTCATGCACAAGCTGGCCTGTTCTCCCTTTGTCACGCCAGGCAAGCCCTGGGAAGAGGCCCGCAGCTTCATCATGAATGAAGACTTCTACCAATGGTTGGAGGAATCAGAGTACCTGGACCTCTACAACCGCCACCAGAAAGAGATAATAGACCACGCTAAAGAGGACTTCCAGGAGCTGCTGCTGGAGTACTCTGAGCTCTTCTATGAGCTGGAGGTGGATGCTAAGCCCAGCAAGGAGAAGATGGGGGCCATCCAGGAGGTTTTAGGGGAGGAGCAGAGGTTTAAGGCCCTGCAGAAGCTTCCAGCTGAGAGAGATGCTCTGGTGTTGAAGCATATCCACTTTGTCTACCACCCCACCAAGGAGACCTGCCCCAGCAGCCCACAGTGTGGAGATTTCAAGATGGAGCAGCTCCTCGCCTCACGCTTCCCAACATGCTACCCATTCTTCAATGTGAAGTCCCATTTTGGGGATATTAAAGCTGACCGAATCAACCTTGTGATATTGGGCAAAGACGGACTGGCCAGGGAGTTTGCCAATGAGATCAGGGCTCTCTGTACCAATGACGACCGGTATGTGCTGGATGGGAAAATGTATGAGCTGACCCTGCGACCTATCGAGGGAAACGTACGACTTCCTGTAAACTCCTTTCACACTCCCACCTTCACACCCCATGGATGCCTGTGTCTGTACAACTCAAAAGAGTCCCTAACTTACGTCGTAGAAAGCATTGAAAGGTTGCGGGAGTCAACCATCGGTAGAAGGGACGGCCATATAGCTCAGCTTTTAACGTCTCTGCTCTTGGTTACTAAAAGAGGTGTAGGGACGTATGCAGATATTGGGGGAGAAACTGCTTTAGGCCTGATAACACAGGGACAGCAGGTAGCAAGGAGACTGCAGTGTAGCTTCCTAGACCCAGCCTCTCCTGGTGTGGGCTATGGGCACAATGTGAATGACAGTCAGATCAATCAAGTATTGAGGGGTCTCCTGGACTCTAGGAGGAGCTCATCTTTCAGTAGCAGCTCCCCACCTCTGCCTCCTAAACCTCCAGGCCCTCCTCACCAGCCCAGCCAAGAGGCAGACATCCGCATCGTCATGTGCTTGATGTGTGGAGACAACTACGACGTGGAACAGCTCCTCTCTCCCTTCCTACTGCCTCAGCACTGCAGGCCAACATCCAATAGTGGGACCTCAGTGATACTGGAGCAGACGGTGGGGCCTCACAAACAGGTGATTGAACTCTCCCTGCTTTCCTACCATGCTTCCTTCTCCCTGAGGAAGAGCAGTTTAGTGCATGGCTACATTGTTGTGTACTCAGCCCGCCGCAAGGCCTCCTTGGAGACCCTATGTGCCTTCCTGTGTGAGATCCAGGACATCATCCCTGTTCAGCTGCTGGCAGTAGGGGAGAGCCAGGTGGAGCTCACAGAGAGTGAGTCTGCCAGAGAGCAGCTGGTCCAGGGAGAGGAGCTGGCCCAAGAGATAGAGGGCAGGTTCAACATTGTGGTGTGTGGGTCCGGAGGGGTGGTGGGCGGCCTGCACAGGATAGAGATGTTCCAGCCCTTCTTGATGGAGGTGGTGGAGAAACGCAACATTGTGGAGGCAACACACATGTATGATAACGTGGCTGAGGCCTGCACTATTGAGACTGCCTACTCCCCTCGCTGTAGCTCACCCAGCCCCGGCAACATGTTCCTAGACTCTGATGTGGATGACGTGGAGCCCTCCCCACCCTACTTCGATGGCACACTCACCTCCCATGGTGGGGGCTTCAACCTGCCTGACCTGGACTCCAGCGATGTCGCTGTCATCTCTGATATCAGCTCTTTTGAGAACAAACTCAACAGCAAGGTCCCTCCCCAGGTGAGGCCCAAGCCCACTGTGACCTTTGACTTCCGGAAGGTGGGCCGAAACCCCTACAACACAGACACCATGGGCCACCGTCGCTCCCTGCCCTCTGCTGTGACATGGGTGCCAGGTGGGGACGGAGGATACGACCCCTCAGACTATGCAGAGCCCATGGATGCTGTGTCTAAGCCCCGGCCCAGCAACGAGGAGATCATCTACTCTGTGCCACACGACAGCACGCAGGGCAAGATAATCACCATCCGCAACGCCAACAGGATGCACTCTAACGGGAACGGCTCGGACAGTGAGGCAGATAGCAGTTCCCTGGAGCGCCGCAGGAAGTTCTCGGCGGCGGGGGTGAAGCCCCGGCTGTACCGTGACCGCTCCAAACGCCTGGGTAAGTTCAGCAGCTTCCGCACTAGCTTCATTGGCAGCGACGACGAGATGGGGGCCCTGCCAAAGATCAAGGATGACGAGTTCGGAACCCTGAAAGGAGACATCATCAACGAGGAGGGAGAGGACCCCAAGAAGAGGAACATTCTGAAGAGCCTACGGCGAACTGCCAAGGTACGTATTTCTTCACTTAGTATTCTCCTCTTAACTGCTAATGGGTTAACACTATTATTTTCAAGTTTGAATGACTATTCTCTTTCAAGTTTAGGTAAATGGATGGCTAGCGTTGATACGATAAACGTGGTTAAGTAATGACAACATGGTTAATATGATTTCCCATGTAAACATTTTTTTTTTTTTTTTTTTTTTACTCTTTACTTTCTAAATAACTTTTTTGATGCGTAATTGCTTGATTGTTTTAATCAAAACTATTCCTCCATGCTAATATGCTATTCATAGAAAGTAAGCTATGTGAAATTCTAAAGTGTGTGGGTAGAATTTAAGCCTGTATTTCAGAGTGACTAAGACACTTGATGCGGCAGCTGTTGATGCTGAATACATGAAGGCAAATTTAGTTTGCCAGTTTTCAGCTGAATTGAACATGGTGTTGACATAATGCATTTTTTAAATAATATAGACTTGGTCATTAACAATGTCAACATTACTGTTTCTGTGCAGAAAACCAGACCAAAGCCTCGGCCCTCTATTCCCAAGCCCCTGGAGAGCAACTACTTTGGGGTGCCCCTGGTCAACGTGGTGTCCCCAGACAGACCTATCCCACTTTTTATCGACAAGTGTGTCCACTTCATTGAGACCACAGGTAGGTCACCATTTTCTGTCTCCTCTTCTCCCCTGTGTTTGTTTATATGTGTGTGTGTGTGTGTGTATTTGCCTGGTTCATTATGCTATTTGACCTGGATGCTGTGCAAAACGTAGGCATAATCTTATCATTGATCATTCTGAGGTAAATCTGTGTTGCACTGTGAATGTTTTACTTACAATAATCCCTTTTATGAGGTTGTTTAATTTCAATATGCTTACTGTAAGCCGTTCTGGATGAAGGCATCTGCTAAATGACAAAAATGTAATGTGAATGCAACTCTATTTACATTTAATAAGCCAAGAAGAACTAACTACACTAGAGCAATTGTAGCCAGTGATCAAGTGCTGTACTTCAGCAGTGCCCTCATTGACTTTACTGGAAATGGATAATGACGTAATGCGGATGGTGGAGTCGATCTAATGAAGCATTCTTCCTGGTTTCAATCTCCGTCTCTCTGCAGGTCTCAACACAGAGGGGCTGTACAGGGTGAGCGGGAACAAGTGTGAGATGGAGAGCATGCAGAGGCAGTTTGACCAGGGTGAGTTACTGTACCTAGTGCTGTATGCTCTAAAACAATGTATCAGACTCATGGATGGATCAACTGTAATACTCACCACACTGTCTGTCCCTAAGCCCTGGACTAACCCTTGTTAGTTATGTGGCTAATCAATATATTGACACATGAGCTGTAGAGGAAATTATGGCCTACAACAAAATATATTTAGAACAGTGACAAAGCCGACTACCTCTGACACACTATTCCTATCCTTCTCTCTGCCCCTTTCTCTCCTTCTCCTACCGGTTTTTCTCCCCTTTTCTCTCCTTCTAACCTTCACCTCCCTCTACCACAGACCATGGGCTGGACCTAGTGGAGAAGGACTTTGCCATCAACACGGTGGCTGGGGCTCTGAAGGCCTTCTTCTCTGAGCTGCCGGAGCCCTTGGTGCCCTGCATCCTGCAGGTGGAGTTGCTCGAGGCCTTCAGTAAGACATGGAGTTGGCTATGTTTAGGGAAGGGCACCGGGCTTCTGGAGGGTTCAGTAAGACATGGAGCTGGCTGGGGTTAGGGAGGAGTCCTGGGGTTCTGGAGGGTTCAGTAAGATATGGAGCTGGCTGGGGTTAGGGATGGGTACTGGGGTTCTGGAGGGTTCAGTAAGATATGGAGCTGGCTGGGGTTAGGGAGGAGTCCTGGGGTTCTGAAGGGTTCAGTAAGACATGGAGCTGGCTGGGGTTAGGGAGGAGTCCTGGGGTTCTGGAGGGTTCAGTAAGATCTAGCTGGCTGGGGTTAGGGATGGGTACTGGGGTTTTGGAGGGTTCAGTAAGATATGGAGCTGGCTGGGGTTAGGGAGGGGTACTGGAGGGTTCAGTAAGACATGGAGCTAGCTGGCTAGGGTGGTGATGAGTGGTTGTTCAGTGAGTGACGCTTGTGATTTAGACAGTATCAGGTTCTCGTAGAGGGGTGGAATAAGGATATGTCTGTTTTGTTCTCAGAAAACATGTACATCATATATTGTAACTGTATGTGTGTATATGTATACTGTATGTATGTAGTGCTGCATATGGAGTAACATTGTTGAAAACATATGAGTCATAGCACTGACTCCCTCCCTCCCTCCCTGTGTGTGTGCACAGAAATCAACGACAGGGAACAAAAGCTGTACACCATGAAGGATGTGCTGAGGAAGTTCCCCAGGGAGAACTATGACGTTTTCAGATTTGTCATGAGCCACTTACACAAGTGAGTGCAGATCAGACTGGCCAACTGTTTCATTCTATGACCTTGGCCCTGACTGCATTGTGACTGAAACCATTTGCATGTTTTGTAACATGTATCATTAATGAGCTCTTATACCTGTGTAATAATGTTATTACACTAGTAGCTGTTGTCATATTGTTGTTGATGGGAGTGTATTGTGTTGTCTCTCTCAGGGTAAGCCAGCTGAGCAGACAGAACCTGATGACCAGTGAGAATCTGTCCATCTGTTTCTGGCCCACTCTGATGCGGCCAGACTTCACCACCATGGATGCCCTGACAGCCACACGGACCTACCAGACAATCATTGAGACTTTCATCCACCAGTGTGCTTTCTTCTTCTACAACCAGCCCCTCCTGGACACCCCCACTGGCCTGGCTGGCCTCCCTGCCTCCCCCACCACCACCCTCACTGGGGGCTCTGCCTATTCCTGCTACCGCTCCTCCCCTCCCCCCACCGCCACACAATTCAGCCCCCTGCAGCAGTCGCCCCCCACGACCCCCCAGTCGCCCCTGCAGTCCCTCCTGCCCCCCCTCCACCAACACCCCCACTGCGCCTCCACCGAGCAAGAGACACTGAGAAGGGAGCACATGCTGCACCCCTGATTTGATGATGCTGGACCTTAGTCACTTACACAGACACCAACACACACACTATGACACTACCTTGTTCGGTCATCGATAATAACATGGGTAAAGAGAGAGAGGAGACGAGGAGCGTTTGACAAACAAACTTGCCACTTACCCAACTTACCACTAGTGAACAGCATCCAGCTGACCCTTCCCTGCCACCTGTGTGCCAGTGCAGATCACAATGCTGACTCCTCCCCTCCACCCCCCTATAGCCCCTGATAACCTGGAATCTGACTCTAGGACTCACCAACAGGAGGGCCGGGGGAAAGAACAGAGTGGGTGTCATTGTTACAGTTAGCATCTCTCTGCCAACTAACCATTTTAATCCTAATGATACACCATGATGAAAAAGTCCAAGCCTCCATGTCAAGTTGGAAGATATGATTTGTGCCCATCACTATGTTTTTATTTGTGTATAATAGTTTTACATGTTTCTTTCTGTTTGTTAATGAAAGTAGCCACTGGATGTATGAACTGTGCCTCTGAAGGCTGTGGGCGGTAACATGCCGCCGTTTGGGGAGCCTCCCTGTCTGCCTGAAGGACCCCTGCTACGGGGTTGGGGGGTTCAGTGGGGTTGGGGGGGTGGCAGTTTGGGAGAGGGGGGGACATCCAGGGGTGCACTTTAATCGTCAGAATGTTTTCATTTTATTTTTTTCCAAAAGGGGGTTGTTGGGCCAGAATGTTTTAGTGTGTTGAGTTCACAGCTCAAACAGCCATACCCATTGCCTCTGAAGGGGCCTTTGCAGATCAAAACGTTGTTTACATCCAAACCCTTGTTTTTGTATCCACATACTTATCTGCACTTTTGAATTCTAGTGTGAAGTTCCATGAAATGCAACCTTGATCAATTGACTTGTAGTTTGTTTGAATGGCTGGGTGGGCGTGGCAGTAGTAGAGAGAGGCTCGGTAACATGACCCTGTCATTATAAAAGTGTTATTTTAGAGGATACAGGGCTCACTTTATAACCCCATGGAAAAGCAAACAATAATACTGATTACACATTCCTCTTTCATCTTAGTCAAGTCAGAAATAGTTTGTTCTGAGAATGCAGGTTTGACTAGCATGGAGTTCCCCTTCTCTTTTTAGGACTGCTGTTGCTTTACTGATGGTTGTGAATATGGAAGTCGGCTGGTGTTGTTTAGGAAAGTAAGTTTGAGCCAGGGTCAGTTAATCAGACCCTTTAGGATCTAGGAGAGGAATGCTCTTGGTTTAGATGACTTCAGATCCACTCCATCAGTTAGGGGTTGATGATTGAACATTGAAGATTGATTATGGGAATTATTGACAGAAACATCAGACAGTAGCATAATGAGGGAGAGGTTAGAAATACATTAGTTATACCAGACAAGGCCTCTATATTTACTGTATCTGTTCCACTGTGTTATCTGGTGGCCATGGAAACCACTGCCCTATTGCAAAATGATGCCGGATGTGTTGCTATGGGTGTCTAGCCAGTTGAGCTCTTTTGTACTCATCTAATAATAAGGACCTTAAACTGAGGCAAGGTGTGCATACAGAAAACACTGCAACGAACTACAGTGTAGTAATAACAGTATAGGATATCCTATAGAGATGTATGGACTCATGCCCAGGAATGTCAACAAAGCATAGAGTAACTAGCTCCAGTGTTCTATGGGGTTTATGTTGGTGTTTAACTGTCCTCTCTCTCTCGTAGAAAAACAAACAAGCAGTCAAGGTAAAGTAATTTAATGAATACTCCTGCTATATTCTGTATTCTTCTATCAATATAAGATGAAAGCATTGCCACAGGCACCTTCTGGGGATGACTGATGATTGGCCAGGAGGCATGGCTGTACTCTGTCGGCCATGTTGGATTGTTCTCATGCTGCCTGCTCAGAACAGATCAGTCAAAGCTATTGGTTGTATTGAGGGTCAATTCTACTCAATACTTGGGATCACTCACTGGTACTTATCCTTGGTGTTTTCCTGCTGTGGGAGGCAGTCGTCTCTGTGAGGCAGTCGTCTCTGTGATCAATAGACTAACGCTGCAAGTAACTCCTCCCCCAGTACAGTACATTATTACCACACGCATTATTAACAGACCAGATGGGAGATAGATAGGAAAAACAAATTGTCCCAGTAGAATGTGACTTTGGCTCACTTCATTTCTGACACAACTTTGACAGATCTGCTGTTCAATGAAGAAGAAAAGGCGAGAGCATACTATACTAAAATGGTTGTTTATTTGTATGTTAGGGGGCCTAACACTTTGGCCTTTAGTCAATGGTAGAAAAAAAATTTTTGTGTGCATTTTAAATGATTTGAAAGTCAATTTTTTAAATTTTGTGAATGGTTTAAGGCCTCTTCAGTTTAGTGCATGATTTAAGAACACACCAAGGGAGAAGGTTGAACAACTCATTATTTTAAAACATGAAAGTGTGAGAACAAAATAATACAAAAGTGAAATAGCAAGTGAAAGATGAAGTACTATTCATCAACAGCAAACCATTTGTCTGACTGAGAATGGTGTATGAAGATGAAGGCCTTATGTGATCTGTATAATAGTGAATAAATTAAATATTGTAAAATTGTCCTCAGACCTCCTGTGATTCCATGTGAGTGAACGTCAAGTAAGATCTTACTGTACATTTGGCTGCATGATTAGGGAAGTGATGTGTCTGACACATTGCTTATTCAATTGTTTGCCTATATAGCAGTTATTCTGATGTAATGCAATGTTGACTGACAGGATAGTTATATAATTTGTGCAATTACAATAAAGTAAATGTTATTTCACTATAAGATATTGCACTTAAATCTCAAACTATGGTTATTTCAGTAATATCCCCTCTGATGTGAGGCCGCGGATCCGTAGGTAACTGGCTGCCCGTTACGCCCTGTCCCGTCCAATGATGCATATAAACCCTGGATTGCTGATGCTATGTATTGGCCAATGAGAGGGTTTTTGAAACCACCGGTCAGCCATATTGGCACTCCCCAGAAGAAGCAGTCCTTAGGAATGAATGGAATTCTACAGTATTCAATTAAATGTTTCAAGGACAAATGTATACTGAACAAAAATATAAATGCAACAATTTCAAAGATTTTACTGAGTTATAGTTCATATAAGGAAATCAGTCAATTGACGTGGATCAGAAAACTAGTCAGTATCTGGTGTGACCACCATTTGCCTTATGCAGCGCGACACATCTCCTTCACATAGAGTTGATCAAGCTGTTGATTGTGGCCTGTGGAATGTTGTCCCACTCCTCTTCAATGGCTGTGCGAAGTTGCTAGATATTGGCGGGAACTGGAACACGCTGTTGTACACGTCAATCCAGAGCCTCCCAAACATGCTCAATGGGTGACATGTCTGGTGAGTATGCAGGCCATGGAAGAACTGGGACATTTTCAGCTTCCAGGAATTGTGTACAGATCCTTGCGACATGGGGCTGTGCATTATCATGCTGAAACATGAGGTGATGGCAGCAGATGAATGGCATGACAATGGGCCTCAGGATCTCTTCACGGTATCTCTGCATTCAAATTGCCATCGATAAAATGCAATTGTGTTTGTTGTCCGTAAATTATGCCTGCCCATACCATAACCTCACCGCCACCATGGGGCACTCTGTTCACAACTGCATTGTTGGTTAAGGGCTTGTAAGTAAGCATTTCACGGTAAGGTCTACACCTGTTGTGTTCGGTGCATGTGACAAATATAAATGTATTTGATTTGTTCACAACGTTGACATCAGCAAACCGCTCGCCCACACAACGCCATACATGTGGTAAATACATGGTTGTGAGGCTGGTTGGACATACTGCCAAATTCTCTAAAACGATGTTGGAGGCAGCTTATGGTAGAGAAATTAACATTCAATTATCTGGCAACAGTCAATTGCACGCTCCCTCAAAACTTGAGACATCTGTGGCATTGTGTTATGTGACAAGACTGCACATTTTAGAGTGGCCTTTTATTGTCCTCAGCACAAGGTGCACCTGTGTAATGATCATGCTGTTTAATCAGCTTCTTGATATGCCACACCTGTCAGGTGAATGGATTGTCTTGGCAAAGAAGAAATGATCACTAACATGGATTTAAACAAATTTGTGCACAAAATTTGAGAGAAATAAGCTTTTTGTGTGTATGGTAAAATTTCCGGGATCTTTTATTTTAGTTCATGAAACATGGGACCAACACTTTACATGTTGCATTTATATTTTTGTTCAGTGTACATGTATTGAAGTAAATTGGGCCCAATTAGCCATTTTCCCTCCCCGGTGTCATGTGACTCGTTAGTGTTACAAGGTCTCAGGTGTGAATGGGGAGCAGGTGTGTTAAATTTGGTGTCATCGCTCTCACACTCCCTCATACTGGTCACTGGAAGTTCAACATGGCACCTCATGGCAAAGAACTCTCTGAGGATCTGAAAAAAGTAAGTGTTGCTCTACATAAAGATGGCCTGGGCTATAAGAAGATTGCCAAGACCCTGAAACTGAGCTGCAGCACGGTGGCCAAGACCATACGGCGGTTTAACAGGACAGGTTCCACTCAGAACAGGCCTCGCCATGGTCGACCAAAGAAGTTGAGTGCACGTGCTTAGCGTCATATCCAGAGGTTGTCTTTGGGAAATAGACGTATGAGTGCTGCCAGCATTGCTGCAGAGGTTGAAGGGGTGGGGGGTCAGCCTGTCAGTGCTCAGACCATACGCCGCACACTGCATCAAATTGGTCTGCATGGCTGTCGTCCCAGAAGGAAGCCTCTTCTAAAGATGATGCACAAGAAAGCCCGCAAACAGTTTGCTGAAGACAAGCAGACGAAGGACATGGATTACTGGAACCATGTCCTGTGGTCTGATGAGACCAATAAACTTATTTGGTTCAGATGGTGTCAAGCGTGTGTGGCGACAACCAGGTGAGGAGTACAAAGACAAGTGTGTCTTGCCTACAGTCAAGCATGGTGGTGGGAGTGTCATGGTCTGGGGCTGCATGAGTGCTGCCGGCACTG